CTCTCCTACTATGAATGGTAACAGTCACTGAAACAGTGACAGGCTTCTGTCCTCATACCCTGTGGGATGGGTTAGTGAATCAGTTCTAGTAATACATGCAAGACAGACCCATCCTTGTGGACTTGGGTTATAGATCTTCCCTGCTTTGCTCTGATCAACTCCCTTTATCCTTGTTCTGGAGTGGTGTGGGGTGGGGTGGGGTGTGGGTGCTTACTAAAGGCATGTGCTTTTATTTGAGCCAATGCAACAAGGTTGTAAAGGTTGAGTTTATTATTTTGTTTTAATAATGAGTTGTTTGTGACATACTTCTCATATCTGTTTTGAGCAGCTAGCAGATCCTCAGAGGCTTTCCAGGTAGGGTAGTCATGGGGCATGATGGAGGAAGCCATTTCCTGGCAGAGAGATCCTATAGGTAGACATTTCTCTTAGCTTGTGTCTTGGAATACAGTTTAGTTTATTTCATGCAGTACATTTAGAGCTTAGGTGGGATGCTTGAATGCTTTATTTCCTTCCTGGAATATCCAGTTCAGAGCAATGGGCAAGATGGAGAGTTTTAATTGAAATTTATACAGCTTTGATACAGAGTGGTGAAGCCTTAAGTTTTATTTTATTCCTCTCAGTAATTTTCTATCCATGCCTAACTGCACCTCCCATTGCCTCTCTCACTGGGTGTTGGAGGTGGAAGCCTGCGCCTCTCAGCAGGTGTTTACGGTCCCCTTTAGTCTTCACAGTCCAGTGCAGTTCACATGACAAGGGTCTTCATGTTGTTTGACAGAATAGCCGAGATCCCATCTTGATTGTAATCTCATGTTCAGATAAACGTGGTAGGAAAAGATAAATCTTGAGCTCAGTGGTCCCCTGGAGAGTGGGGTTCTCTAAGGCATGTATGTTATTTCAGTTTACACAGGAATGACTTTTAAAGTAGGTGACATTTGAGCTGAAGTCTGAATGAAATCTGTTCATCATGCAGAGATCTACCTGGGCTCATTGGAGATCTGAGACAGCAATGGTGGGACCATTGGTGATGAGAGTGGTGGAAACTTTCCCACAGTGTTGTAGATGTCAAAGTGTTATTCTTGTACATGATGAATGCAGGCCTAACTGTTAGAAGAGTAGAATGTTTAAAAAAAAATATGCACGAGCAGGGTAGGTGTACAGTTAAAAAGGAGCCAGAATCCACTTATGAGTGAGTACATACCATAACTATCTTTCTGGGTTTGGGTTACCTCACTCAGGATGATTTTTTTCTAGTTCCATCCATTTGCCTGCAAATTTCATGCTTTCATTGTTTTTCTCTGCTGAGTAGTACTCCATTGTGTATATGTACCACATTTTTTTCATCCATTCTTGTAAAATAAAATAAATAAAATTAAAAAAAATACTAGAAAAAAAAAAGGAGCCAGAGCAACTGGGATAATTGTGAGTCCTTTGGTGTGACTTCAGCATCGTGGATTTGTTAACTTGATAACTGCTTTTTCTTGCAGACACAGATGATACGAATTTATTGGGAAAGAAAGATGATGGGCTGCAGTATCGACCAGATGTGAAAGGTACTGAATTACGATTTTCTAGATTTGAATCAAAATTTGAAATATGGCCACCAGCTGTCCCTAGTGGTTCTGTTTCCATTGTGGCCGCCCTTTAGCTTAGCTCCCTGTGGTAATACACTTGATACAATTGATTAGCAGTGTTTATTGAAATAGTTAAGGTTCCTCTCAGTTCAGAGAGTGCTCCCATGTATGCTTTTTATTGATTTTAAATGATTCCTTACGATGTGAAGTTCTCTAGAATCTATGATTAACATTTTCCTCTATGCCCAGGTCTTTGAACCTCATTCCTTCTATCTGGAAGTCTTCACTCTTTGTCTGGCTAACTCCTGCTCATCTCCTCCAGTCTCAGTGTTGGAATCATTTCCTTTGAGAATCACTCCTTGACCCCCAAATCTGGATCAGATCCCTTTACACCCTCCCACATCTGAGCACTTATCCTGCTCTATCTGTATCTCAGATCCTGAGTTGTATGTGGATTGTAAATAAGGCATCTTTACTTTGTGTTGCTAATCCTAGTAGATGAGAATGGACGTGACTCAAAGAAGCCATATCATTTATTTGCACAGTGTCTCATGTTGAGTAAAGATCAAAGCAGAGACTAGAATCCTTGAGCTTAATTTCCATTGCTCTTTCCTGTCTTGTGGTCACATGCATTATCTTATTTGAAGCTTACAAGTAGTAATATGAAGAACACTTAACCAATGGCAGGCGTGAGACTCAGGGATGTTAATCTGGTTAATCAGAGCGAAGTTACATGACTGGACTCCTAGATCACCATTTGTATATAATTGCCCCATCATAAGTACACATTCAACTAATTTGTAATTAAAGAAGGAAAGGTCATGAATTTGAGAGGGAGTGAGGAGCATGGGAGGAGTTGGAAGGGACAGAGGGAGGGGGATAGCGATGTTGTAAGTACAACACTTATGTATAAAATTCTTAAAAATACTAACAAAATGAATGTAAAAATGTGTGATATGCAAGACATTTTGGAGACTGAGGAAGGGGAATCATAAGGCTAAGGCCAACTTGGGCTGTGTAGCAAGTTCAAGGCTAGCCTGAGCTATGTAGTGAGTGAGACCCCGTCTCAACACACCGAGGGCTGAGGACTAGCTCAGCAGTAGAGCACTTCCCTGGCAGCCTTGGCTCCTAACGATCCACAGACTACAACAGGGGAAAAATGTGATCTTCATTATATGTCTGATTTTTCAAGTGTCCCTGTTGCATAGAATTTCATCAAAGTTAAGTAAGATTATTCATCAATGCTTAGAACAGAATCTAACATGTTTGTAAGTGCTCAGTAAATAGTAACTTCTGTAATTGAATAATATGTTACTTCCTTTACTTGAATTGTATTAAATCTGAATTTCTTAAAACCCATGAGGCCCTGAAAAACAGTTTTCTCTGCTGATACAAAGTGCTGTATTTAAAATTTGAAATCAGCTGTGTTCCCTCCAGAGCCATAGCAGACCAGCTCTGGTTTTATTCTATCTACTGATATATACCCAAGGAAGACCATTTTTCAGTAGTTAGCAACTCATTTTTAAGGCAATTTGGGGAATTGTGTATACTCCAAACACTTGTGTAATGTTCATAAAATCACATAATAATATGACTACATATTGATAATCTTGTCTGTTCCACTTTTGAGGTACTAAAAATTCTGTACACGTAAGAATTGCCATATAACTTAAATGAAATTAAAAGATATTATTTATTATAGGTTTAATTTATGTCTGTCTTTTTAGCAACATTACTTGTGGAAGGAAAGATAATTTAGTACATGGTATGTATGTATGTATGTATGTATGTATGTATGTGTGCACTGTGGTATGACATGTGCTTAACCAGTATCTGACAATGTAGGAATTAAATATTGTCATGCCTGTACTAAAGTTGGAAAGTGTTAATGGTCTTTAGAAAAGACAGAATGCTCTTTGGTGGTGGACCATGAAAGATGTGAGAAAAGTCATGGAGAAGACAGAATGTGAACGAAACTTGACCTACAGTTAGAGAGGATGTTTAGGGAGGCTAAAAGATCATCAGAAGAGATGTGGACTCAAATGTTATAGCAGGATGTATTGGAGAGTGCTGAAGGATTTAGAGGAAGGAGGGGGAGGTAGGTGGGAAAAGTAGCTTGGGGGGCCAGATTTGTCCTGTTGGACAGTTGAGACTTTATTTTGAACCACAGGGATGTGGTAGTTTGAATAAGAATGGATCCCATAGGCATATATATTTAGATGCTTAGTTATCAGGGAGTGGCACTGCTTGAGAAGGATTAGGAGGTGTGGCCTTGTTGGAGGAAGTGTGTCACTATGGGTGGGCTTTAAAAACCCAAGCTAGGCCCAGTGGCTCTCTCTCTTCCTGCTTCCTGTGGATCCAGGCATTATGTGTGCCTGAAAGCTGCCATGCTCTCTGCCATGATGAAAATGATCTAAAACTGAAACTAAGCCAGCCCTAATTAAATGCTTTCTTATATAAGAGTTGCTGTGGACATGGTGTCTCTTCATAGCAATAGAACAAAAACTAAGACAGGGATCATTAGTATAATATAAATGAAAAAGACAAGGCTCCAACACTAACCACTTGAATGAGTGATACCTGCAGGAACACCATGCTTATTGTATTCATGGGCAAAGGCAGAGAGGTGAATTTGGCAGACTCAAAAGGGACAGGTTGTCTGCTTAGATGTGGGGCAGTGAGAGCTAAAATTACTGAGACTTAAGTACAAAGACTTAGATGATTGGTTCTTTTTATAGAAATGATATGCTGAGAGGGACAGGGGAGAGTTGTCTGGTGAAAGGTGAAGGAGGAGTTGGTGAAGGTGATCAGTTGCCTTTTGGGATTTGATGTGATGTGGAATTCATCTAGGAGACTGTTCAGCGTAAATCTAGAGATGAACCATTGGTTCAGAGTTGATAACTAGACAGGATGGCCAGTAGTTTAACATGCTACAGAAAGGCATTCCAGGAAGAGGAGTCAGCCACCTTGAAAACAGTAAGGTCATTGGACCACAGTTTCTACAGAGTGAAGATGGGAGCCAGGCTGTGATAGTTTAGTACTCAAACAGTAAGGACATATGTTAGAAGGTAGCTCTGTTGCATTTTGTTTTCTGTTCTCACATTGATAGGAGCACTGATAGGAGTCTTTGGTGAATACTTGTATCTGCAGTTCACAGCCAAGACTGTAGGTAGGAGGTACTTCCACAGGGCCTGCTGTGGAAAGCAGGAACACTGCACCAGCAGGAACATGGAACTTAGAGGGGAATGCCCAGTGGAAAAGGTTTTTGGTTTTTGGAGAGGTGCCACTCTCAATGAGTTTAATTGGGTTGCTTACAGCAGCATTATAAGATCTTGAAATCATAAAGGTCTGATGATTGAGTGTTGCAGGCTTTCTCTTTGGGCCACCAACCAGCTCCCAAGCAAAGACACAGAAACTTAATATTAGTTATGAATGCTTAACCTTATCATATTCTAGATTTTTTTTTGGGGGGGGCATGGTTTTGGAGACAGGTTTTCTCTGTGTAGTTTTGGTGCTTGTCCTGGATCTCGCTCTGTAGACCAGGCTGGCCTTGAACTCAGAGATCCGCCTGCCTCTGTCTCCTGAATGCTGGGATTAAAGGTGTGCGCCACCACCACCTGGCTATACTAGCTCTTATAACTTAATTTAACATGTTTCTCTTCATCTCTGTCTTGCCTCAGAGCTTTTTACCTTTCTTTCATTCTGTATGTCTGTCTTTTTCTGCTTCTTCCGTGTCTGGCTGGCTGGAGGCTGGCAGCTGGCTGGCCCTGGGCATCTCACTCTTTCTCCCTCATTCTTTCTTCCACCTACTTATTCTCTCTGCCTGCCAGTTCCACCTATCCCTCCTCTGCCTAGCTATTGGCCGTTCAGCTTTTTATTAGACCAGTCAGGTGCCTTAGGCAGACAAGGTGAAACAGCATCACATCTTTACCTAATTAAACAAATGCAGCATAAACAAATGTAACACATCTTTACATCATTAAAGTAATATTCCTCAACAATTGAGTGTGAGGAATATGGGGGATAGATACAACCTTTATATAGAAAATTTCAAAGATAATGTCAAGAGAGTAATGTAACAAACCCACATGAACCCAATACCAACCTTTAGGGTTTTTCTTTCTTTTTTTTCTTTAGAGTTTAATTGAACTTTAATTATGTATATACACATCTGTGTGTGAGTGTATGCACTTGAGTACAGATGTCCTCTGGAACTCAAGTTGTGAGCTGCCCAGTGTGGGTGCTGGTAACCAAATTCAAGTCCTGTACCAGGGAAGTACTAGTTCCTAACCACCGAGCCATCACCCCAGCCCCACTTTCAGTTTTTATTGCCATTTTTCTTCTATTTACTTTCAGTACACAGTATCAGCATGATTCTAATTATCCAGTTTTTGAGATACAGTTTCAACCTGAAATGAATATACTCCATCGACATCACACCCTGCTGTGATTGGCAGTATTTCCAGCTACCCAGGAAGTTCCTTCATGATACAGACATTGTAATCCAAAGAGACCGTCATACAGCCGAAATTGAACTGTGGCACTTTAATTAGAAAGACACCCACACGTCTCATTCCAACCCTCACCTCATCTTTGAACTTGTTCTTGAGAATCATTAGTCTTGATTGTGCTGGCCAGGGGCACTAGAGATGGCGAGATGCCATTATTCCTGAGTCTCATTTGCTTGATGACTGTTTATGTACTTCAATCCAGCATCGTTTGATGTGTTCTTTAAAGACAATGAGTCAGGGATACAGGTGCCTGAGTGTGTGTTGTGAGCAGGTGGAGAGTTGTCGGGGCTGTTCAAGGGCTCCTGAGAAGGGGCCGTTTGTTGTGGGGTAAGAGTGGAAGGCCTGCCTGGAGATGGTTGTCGCCAGCCTGCCAGGGGAAGGTGAGGATGGAAGGTGGCCGGAAGAGGGGTCTAGGAAGTAGAGTGGGTAGGGTAACCTGAGGAGGATGGGAGGGCTTTTCCTAAGGGAGTAGGTGAGGAGGTAGATGAGTTTATATAATTAGAGGAGTTGTTTTCCTGCCGTAGTTGGGGAAGGGGGAGGGTTAGCATTGGGATGGAGAGCAGTGGATTTATAGCAGTGTGGGAGGTTTTCCAGGGAAGATAGGAGTGTATTGACTAGGTAGACACTTGCTTAACTCGGGATTTGAGGAGACTGGGGTAGGGAAGTCCATAGAGGGATGTGTAAGTGTTGTAAAGGTTGAGATGAAGGGTGGCACAGTTTGGGAAGCAACATGTGATATTTAAAGTTTTAAGCTCTGTAGGGACAGGGAACTCTAGAGTTGAAGTGCTGATGGAAGTATGGCTACAGCAGCTTACCCTGTAGGTACGTTCTCAATTGCTAAGATCAGTTCCTCATGCTTCATCCGGGTTGCCCACTGTGGACCAGGCTGGATGATTGGTAGACCAGTCCTGGTGTAGATAGGCCACTTGATACGGTTTCTTATGACATCCTGACTTAGAATGAACTGTCCCTTGTGTGTGAAAATATGGCTGCTGATGGCAGATTTGTTTTTGAAGCTTCTGTGTGGAACGAGTCAGTGGGTGGCCAGATGTACTACTGTGTACGCTGCACACACTTCAAGCATTGTTCTATATTGCACACACTTCAAGCATTGTTCAGACACCAGCGGTTGACACCGTTGTTGTTGGAGCCTGTCACCACTTACCTAAGGACATTGTTCAGACAGGATCCTTCTGTGTCTACTTCTCTGTGCCAAGGCTGCATCTCTGCTTTGGTTTCGAAGTCATGCTTTATTGTGTCTTCAAAGGTTTTTTTTTTTTAATCTTTCCCTTTTGGAGCGGTTCCATTTATTTAGTCTAGAGAGCAGGTGCTTGAACATTCTGCTTTTGTCCATCTCCTACACACCTCCCAGGGAACGTACTGAAGTCGTAGTTTAATAGCCAAGAGCTTGTGCCGTGGAGTCAGTCACAGGTGAGCATCACTTAAGGCTGTGAGGCCCGCTTCCTCTGAGCCTCAGTGGTCACATCCAGGGGGCAGTTGGGATCAGTCTGAACAATCAAACCCTGGATTCCTGGTTTCATTTTTGATACGTGGTTATCACTGCAGTCTGCAGTGTCACTGTTAGTTGCTGACTGTGCTTCAGGTCTCCACATCTGTGAGCTCACCTGCCGTACTGACTGCCGTCGTGGCTCCTGAGTAGCACCAGTGGCCAGTGTCCTACCGTGTGCTCCTGTGCCTTTGAGTCCTCACAGCAGCTTTGCTGTCCTCATTTTGCGTGTGATAAAGATGAAACTGAGTGTAGAATGAGAATGAAGCTGGTGTCCCGAGCCTGGTGCTCTTGTCCTTATCTGGTGAGAACCCTGTGCTCTCCAGCTGCGTTCCTTCCCGAATCTCCATCAGAACCCTTACCCTGCTCTCAGCTGTTACCCAGGGAAACTTGCTCCCTAGTCTGCTCTTTCTCTTTTCACACAGTTGCTTAGTGAGACCTTGTCCTTATCTTCTGTTTATTCTGCCATTGTCTCAAACCCCAGGAATCTACTATGATGCTGGGAACATGGTACTCTCTAAAAAGCACTTTTTGGATGACCATAGGTCTAAGTTAATTCAGTTTACTAATCTCTCTCTCCTGGGCTGGGCATCATTAGGCTCAGATTTAGAGACATTTACAAGATGCACTATTAACATATTTAGTAAAGAGGGTAGCTCTGTTCTATTAAATGTACTGGGTACCATTCTTTTTAAAAAATATTTTATATTTTATGGTATGAATGTTTTGCCTGATGTATGTCATGTACCTCGTGGATACAGTACCTGTGGAGTTCAGAAGAGGGACTGAGTCTCCTGGAATTGGAGTTACAGATAGTTGTGAGCCACCATACAAGTGCTGGGAATTGAATCTGGGTCTTCTGCAAGAGCAGCCAGTGCTCTTAATCACTGAGCCAGCTCTCCAGGCCCTGGGTACAAATAGCTCTTAAAGGTCGTTGTAAACCAAATGTGTTCAAATAGGAATGGGAAGTTTGACCTTAATACAATGCTGGTAGCAGTAGGTAGTGTGTGAGCTGACACTAGGAAATGTGTACAAAGCTAGAGATTTCATCAGCATGAGAAATACGCAACAGTATCAGAACTTCACTGCATTCTGATGAGTTTCTCTGGAAGTGTTCTCAGGGCTAAACTAAAGGATTCCTGCAGCAGGTCACATGTCCTCTATGGACCCTTCAGGTCTGGGAATCTGAGCTCATACAGTTTAAACACCTTCTAGAGAGATTTACTTACTACTTACTTGTGCATGCATTTGTGAGTAGTATATGGGATATGTCCTACTGTTTATTCCTCCTGCACAACTCTGGCTTAGCTCTGTGTGTGTGTGTGTGTGTGTGTGTGTGTGTGTGTGTGTGTGTGTGTGTGTTGCTGGAGGTGGACTCTAAGGCCTATGTATGACAACTAAGTGCTCTGAGCAGCCACTTGGCTTAGCTTGCAGGTCTTGCTGTGTAACCCAGGCTAGCCTTGAATGCTCCATCATGCTGCCTTTACCTCACAGGTGCTGAGTTCACAGACATTTATCACATCTCACTTATAATCCACAGATTAGTGATGAAGGAATTATTTATTAGGAAATTATCTTGAGGAGAACAACTCACTAAACAGGATAAGGCAAATCTGTCTCATAGTCCTGGAAAGCTGATGGCTGGTCCCACCCTGCTCCTGAGGCCCGAGTCAGTCCCACCATCCAAGCCCGTGAGGGAGAGAAGAGAAGGGCCCTGCGTATGTGCCCCTCAGGTCTTAAGCTAGCTCAGAGGCCACAACCTACACTCACTTTTATTAACTTGTAACTCCGTTCTTCTCAACCTTCCTAATGCTGCGACCCTTTAACACAGCTCCTCACGTTGTGGTGACTCCAACCATAACATTATTTTCGTTGCTATTTCATAACTGTAATTTTGCTACTGTTAGGAATCATAGTGTAAACATTTTTGGAGATAGAAGTTTGTCAAAGGGGTGGCGACCCACAGGTTGAGAACTGCTGTACTTCTGCTCCTTGTTTGTTGCTGTCTAATTATTTGAATACCTTTATTGAAACATAATTCACATACAACATTAAATTCACCCCTTTAAAGCATAGGATTTAGTAATGTAATTTTCATGCTGTTATACAAATATTTCCATAATCTAACTTGACAATATTTACATTACCCTCTAAGGCACTGGTTCTCAACTTTCCTAATGCTTCGACCCTTTAATACAGCAATTTTGCTATGCTACGAATCATAATGTACATATCTTTGTTTTCCAGTGGTCTTAGGTGGCCCCCGGGAATGAGGTTGTGACCCACAGGTTGAGAACCACTGCTCTAAGAGAAACCATGCCCATTAGCAGTTGGTCCCTGGGTATTCCCCCTCACTGCTAGCCATGGGCAACCACCCTCAGGGGAATTTTATTTTACTCAAACCGCAGTTTTCATTGAGCTGCCCTCCAGTTAAGAGGCCTTGGGTGTTTTCTCCATCTGTGTGGTTAAGAAAGCATGCCTTACAGGAGATTCAAGTTTTTCCATAATCTGGTTTCAGCCAGTCCCCCAGCTTTGATCTCTATTTACCCTTCTGCGGTCTGATCCAGTCCTTGCTCATGATTCGCAATGCTGTGCACACTGTATCTGCCCTTTGCGTCTGCCCTCCGGCTCCCTGCTCTTTGAGGCCCTACCTTCAGTCCCACCCAGTCAGCTTGTAGGTCCTTCTCAGAGGCTTACCTTGTGAATTTCCTCTTAACTGTAAACCACCGTGCTGGGCCTGCTGCTGGTTATCTCTCCATGCATATGCTGATTCCTTAAGTTGATGGTAAGCTCCTGAGGGCCAGGGCCATGTCAGCCTCCCTTTCCCTTCTCTGGGTAGCTGAGCCTGTGTACAGAGTAGCACGGGAGGAGAGTGTATTGAATGCTGAGTTTGGGCTCTGCCAGCCAGGCTCTCAGCTTTATTAGATATGCCTTGTTTCCTACAGCTTCACTTTGTGTTTAGTGCAGGACCACTTTCCCTCATGAATTCATTTAACGCTTCTTTATTGGTGTCACACTTTGTCCCTTAATTTCTCTGCACTGTGCCTGAAATTTCCTGCCCTGTATGGGGCTTTCTTATGGTCTATGAGGACACTACCTGACCTCTACAGAGCCACTCGGTCCCACTGTTACGCACATTACAGGATTTTACCA